TGCGCCCAAAAACAAAATTTAAGCCACAGAGAAAGTTAAACAACCGAAATGCGAAGCTTGCCGGATATGTGTAAGGTACTTTGAACTCCATCTCCCGACCTTTTACTAAACTAACGACTTTCTATATTTGACACCGTAAAAGGTTTATGCTCTTTCATGTTCAGCTTTGCGGTTCGATAGATGTGGATGCGAAGAGTATTCCTTTGTAATATTGGCTCTAAGGGAGAGGTGGGCGGGAAACTTCCCGTTTTCAGGCAGCGCAAAGAACAAAGCTTCTGGAGGGTGTTTATGTGTTTTGCACGCGTCCATGTAGGTGAGCATGCCTCTTGTTGTGCGTGATGCTGAAACATGTTTGTTAGACATGTTCTAGATTACCCTTTTGACGTAGGTTGAATTTGAGCGATGGATTGATTCGCCCGTTGAAGTGAGTGGGGAACCACTCCCTGCTTGGCTGGATGCCATTGGTGATGAGGCGAGTGCAGCCCTGGAGAGTGATGCTAATGAAACTTGTGCAGCTCATTTTCAGCCAGACTTGCTTCACGCTTCTTGTTCATCCCCTGGTGAGCAGCCTGAAGGGAAGGTTTTGAGCAGCAAGGAACTCAGTGATCTCAAGACACTCACTGTCAAAGCTTTTTTTGTACCCTGACCTCCAGTTCTTTGAAGTTGCCATGGGAAACGCCTCAGATGAAACTCATTTTTAGTGACGATGCAATTTTTCAACTTCCAAAGCTTGACCCTTTGCATGATGACGATCTTGCTGTGGCTTTCGTTCAGCCTGGAGGAACTCGACGCGTCGAAGTCGCATGAGGTCGAATTTTTGACAGGGCTTTCACTGGGCGTTTCAAATCCAGGGACCTTGGCGGTGACGAGCAATTGGAGTACATTTTTGAAAAACGGTTACTTGTTGTTTTGCAGTCGCCTGAACATTCGCAGATTGGCAGGGTTGTCATTGACCTTACAAAGGAACGTCAGCTGGAGGCGGTGCGAAATGTTTTAGGAGGCAAGAGCATGTCCACGCTGAGAAAGAGACTTAGACAGACTGTGAATTTTGTTGAGCGGTCAATGAACGAAGACGTATCCTGCGAAGTTTTCCCAATCACTGGCGACATAGTCCGCAGGTATTTGAAGCACCTTACACTTGAAGGAAAGGGTCATAGCGTGATACAAGGGGCTATGGAGAACTTTAGATTCCTTCACTATGTTGTCGGCTTTGACATGGAGCAGGAGCATTGAACTCAGTTTGGGCAAAAGGCCTCATTCGAAACAGCTTGCAGTGTAGAAAGAAACGAAAGCAGTCAAGAACCTTGCTCGTGTCGGAGTTGCAGTTCCTTGAGAGTTTTCTGAAGGATCCAGGAAACACCCCGCAGGACAGGTATGTGGCTGGGTGTTGCCTCTTTGCGGTGTATAGCAGGGCGCGTGTTGGTGATCTTGCTTGCATTGAGGAGGTGAGTGTTGACGTGTTTCAAAGAGTTGATGGATCCTGGTATGGATACATTGAATTGCAATCCAGTTCACACAAGATGAGGGCCAGTAGCAATGCACTTGGCTTGAACTTGCTTCTTGTTGCCCCAATTCAAGGAGTCACGAACAGCTTCTGGGGCAAAGTGTTTTTGGATGTTGCTGAGGAAGTTGGAATGCCACTTCACAGTAAGCTCTTGTGTTCAAAGCCATTGCTTTCTGTTCCACATAGCAGTGGTGCGTGGACCAACAGGCCGAGCGACAGTTCGGAGGTTGGAAAGTGGTTGACAATGTGCCTGTCAGAGGCAGGTTTTGACGTGAGTGGATTGTCTGCGCACGGGATGAAAGCAACCACACTTTCTTTCCTCGCTAAATGGGGGGCTGGCCCGGACGACCGAACGATTCTTGGACATCACAGTTTGAAGCAGCGCAGCAGTCTCGAATGCTATTCGAGGGAGATCCAGGCTGGGCTGCGTGTCCTGGAGGTGTGTCTCAAGGACGTCAGGGCTGAGACTTTCAAACCGGATCTTTCCAGGTCGGGATATTTTAGTGAAGAGGCAGTACAGTCGTTTCATGTTGATGCACGGTCGGAGGTTGAACCTGTCAAAGTAGACGAAGCTTCATTGGGCGAGGTCTCAAGTGCAGATAGATTTGATGTCGTGGAGGTGGATCCACAGGTATCCGATGATAGTTCTTCTACCTCTTCAACATCGAGTGATCCAAACGATGTCGAGACCTTGGAGTGTCGGGCTAAGTCTAGTGAACCTCAGAATCCGCTGATTTGGAAAGAAGGGTGTAAAATTTTCCAAAAGACGACAACCAAGAAATTGCACTTGAAGCCTGAAGGTCCTGAGGAAACTCCTTTCATTTGTGGAAGGAAAGTGTGCACTGCCACCGGCCTTTTTCAGGACGAATTTTGATGGAAGGCTGGAAGTGCATTCAGTGCGATAGAGGTCGATCTGTCAGGACGACTGAAGGACTGACAGAGGCACAGGACCGAGCCTTGAAGCGTTGCAGAATCGGATAAAACGCACCTCTTTATGATCACTTCTTCCCTTTTCTGTCCCTTTCTTTCTTTGCATGATTGACACTTGCGGGAGTTTCTTTGAGTGAAAGTCAGACTTGCAGGAACGAACGCGGAGGTCCCAAGAAAGGTCAACAGACCCTAAAAGGCAAATTCTTGGGGCGGCCTTTTTCAATCATTTTGAAGGCGTTCGGCGAAAAAAAGGCCACCCCGCAAAATTGCCTTTTAGGTCTTGTTGGCTCGTGTTGGTTTCTCGTTGCGGGAACGTGCGGGAGTGTTGCAAAAAAATGCTTGTTTGACGGAGCCATTTTGGCAAAGCAATCTTGTATAGTCATGAAGAACAAGCGCATTAACTAGTGCACGTGATTCACATTCTAGTCTGGAACCGCGTAAACCGTCACGTTCGGAAACCTTACTAGAGTTTGTAACCCTTGTCCATCAATTATACTGATTTGTTGACACACTTGTCTTTCAAAACCCGTGACCATGAGCAGCCTTATGGACAGCGAAGCTGCGCTCAAGGCTAAGGCTGAAGAGCATGGTTTGGACGCAGGAGTGATAGCATCGTTAGTTGGCAGAGGAGTGAATAGCATCGGAGTGAATCCGACCGAAGATCAATTACGGGGGCTAGTGAACCCGTCAGATCCAGGCGGGATCACTTTGGGAGCTTTGGCCAGCATTCGTAGGTTGGTCATGTCAATCCATCAAGTGAAAATGGCCTTACAGAACACCGAGAGTTCCAAAAAGCCAGAGTTAGTGCCAGCGGAACGTCATGCCAGGATCAAAAAGCAGAAAACCCATCTTGCGGGTTACGACCTGACGGGACCTTTGGAGTGTTCCCACGCTTCGTACGACGTTGTAGGAGAAATGCTCCAGAAGGATTCAGTAGTGTACTTGCCTCCCACCAAATTCGGAACTCGGTCTGTTGAAGTTGCAAAAGACAGGCCACCGAAAGAGCTTTTCATCGACTCCAGCTCCCACTTGGCCGTGACCACAGGGCGCAAGGAGGACAAGTGCAATGTGAATTCTGACTTACTTCTTTCACAGGCCTTTACTAGAAGAGCTTTAGCATGTGACCTCACGGGCGCTTGCTCTTTCGCTGCACTTGAGGGATGGCACCGGTTCCTGTTCGGCCATTTAGAACATGCTCCTCCTAATGGGTATGACCATGTGACCAAAGAACAATTGTTGAGGGGGGGTGGATTCGATTAGCTGAAATTTTGCCGTCCATCAAACGCCTCCCTGATGGGAGCAAGCCGTTGGACGCCGCTTGTGCCGCGTTGAGGCCTCTTGCCATTGCCTTCAACAGTCCGCAAGCAACCAAAGTCGAACAAATGGAACGAGAACGTTGAGGAGAATGACAGTGGCGAATATCCTGTGCAACGCCGCAAGGGTGACAAGAAGGGCAAAGGCAAAGGAAAAGGCAAGAAAGGCAAGACCTTTGAAGATCGAATGCCATCCGAGATTAAAGGAATGAAGTCAAACACCAGCACAGGAGAGCGTATTTGTTGGAACTACAACCTATCGAACCAGAAGTGCACATTCGCTTCCGCTGGTGGAACTTGCAAGCGGGGAAAACATGTTTGTATGAAGTGTGAGGGCGCTCATCCGCAGTATGAGCACAGTTGACTATCTCCTGCAAAAGATCATAGCATTGCATGCCCTTCAAGCTCGCAATCGGTTGGGTTGCCTGAAGCTTCGAATGAAATTCAATTTCAGACACCAGACGAAACAAGGAAGTCTCACCTCAGAAAGCGCAAATTTTCCACTCACGAGGATTCATTCCTCAACATTTTCTCAGTCAGGCTCAAGGGCCATAAACTAGAAGACCTAGTCTTCATTGAGATTTTCTCGGGTTCAGGGGGTCTCACTGCCGAGGTTCGGAAGCGAGGACTCATTAGCAGTGTTGGGGTAGACTGTAGCATTAGCAAGCAGGTCAAAAGCCCAACAGTGAGATTGGATTTGACCACGGCAGGCAGTCAAGCTTTACTGATTGACATGCTTGGACAGCCCACGGTTGTTGGGTTTCATGCAGCGCCACTATGCGGCACAGCTTCCCTAGCTAGAGAGATTCGTAAACACCTTCCGAACATGCCTCAACCATTGAGAAGCCAAGAGGAGCCCGATGGACTTCCAAATCTTTGCTTCATCGACAAGGTGAGAGTGCAAAAGGCAAACCAACTGTACGATTTAGTCGGGCGCCTGTGTCTTTTTGCCGAGGAGCATGGTTTGCTTTACAGTGTCGATCGAGAACCCGGCTCGATCGTTGTTTTGGCAAACTAGCTTTCCTGATAAGCATCTTGACGAGCTGCAGTTTCCTAAGCATAGAACTTTCTTTCACCACTGCATGCACGGCGGCACTCGTGATAAGCATACTCAACTCCTGCGCAATTGTCCCAAGCTCACCCAGCTGGGGTTGCGGTGTGATCGTAGTCATGACCACGCTCCTTGGGGTGAAAGACGTCCGCTCTGGATTCGACTTGATGGGACGCCTTCCTGAGTCAAAGGTCTTCCCAAAGCGGTATTCTCACGCCACTATGAGCGCCGAACAAGTCAGGAAGACAGCAAGCGTAACTCGTAAGGCCATATGGAATTCGTCAAGGTCTATGTCAGACCCAGAAATCCAAGAAGGGGTCTACGCTGCCACAGTTGAGGAGAAGGAGAAAGGGTGGCTCGAAGGCCCGTTGGCCCTTCATGAACTTGAGGTGGAAGCTAGCTTGACTCGTAGGTTTGGAGTGGCTCAATCTTCAACTGGGAGCGATGGAATGCCTTGCGTTAAGATTAGGCCGATCGATAATTTCACTGAGTCCTTAATCAATCTGACTAACTCTGGCTCTGAGTGTATACCCGTGCATTCAGTAGACGTAGTGATTGCCGCGCTCAACCATAGATTGGTTTTGGGACACTTAGCTGAAATCGAAGAACGTCTTGGTCTGAGTGTTGTGGACCTTAGGAAAGCGTATAAGCAGCTTGCAATTTCTTCACAAGGCTTGAATGATGGGTACTTGTGCGTGTATAACCCTCATACCAAGTCCCCCGAGGCATACCGATCTCTCGTACTGCCCTTTGGTGCACGCGCCGCAGCGCAAGGGTTCTATCGTGCTTCACACAGTCTTTGGTACCTTGGGTGCGCTCTCCTTCATTTGCGTTGGACATTATTCTTCGACGACTTTCTCTTAGTGGGTAGGTTTGAAGAGTCGAAACACCTTGGTCTGATCGTGCAGGCCTTTTTCGAAACCCTAGGTTGGGAAACAGCAGCCGAAAAGGGGGGGGCGTTTGAATCTTGTGCCAAGGTGTTAGGTGTCCTTATTGACTTGAGTGATAGCTACCTATCTGGGCGACCTGACTGAGAGGGGTCGTTTCAAAGCTTCGTGGGAGACTTCAGTTTTGTGAGGGACAGCTTTTTGGAAGGAGTAGCGCACACCAGCTACAACTGATCAGCAAGCGTTCGGAGTCCGAGCACGGAGGTGTAGTTGATCAGGAACTTCGTGAGACCCTCTCGAGTCTTGTAGAAAGGAACTGTCCGCGTAGCGTTCTGTGCAGACCTAGGCGGGTCTTTCACCTCTATACTGATGCTTGTCATGACGACGAGAAGTCAGGTCTTGGAGGAGTTCTTGTGGACGAAGATGGAAACATCTTCAGAGCCTTTAGCATTAGGGTGACGGAACCAGAACTGACCCGGATAAACGTCGATAAGAGTAAGACTGTGATCTTGCAACTCGAAGCCCTAGCAGTTCTCGTGGGATTGAATTTCTGTGCCTGGACTTTAGTGACGATGAGATAATCGTATTTGGAGACAATGATGGTGCCCTGGGCAGCTATATTAGTCTTCGGAGCGAAAACCGATTCGTCAAAGGTTGCTTGAAAGTGTTCTCCCTGTGGGAAGAGCAGAGTTTTCCTTTGGTGTGGTTTGAAAGAGTGGCTTCTCATTCTAACATAGCTGACGTGCCATCGCGCCTCGATATGTCCTTGCTGGATTTACACGCGGGATATGAAGTGATTGAGATCTCTTTGCACAGCTTGCTGGAAGAAACACTGTCTCAGATCCCTGCAGGATGAATGGGGAACGCCCAAAGCTATGGGGTTGTGTCGGGGGCGAAAAGGAAAAACATAACACAGTGCTTGAGCCCTCAGAGGCCTTTCGAATGTGTGCCGGATGATGACCTGACGACTTTTCCCCACAGCGCTTGGAGGAGAAAACAGAGCGATCTGAGATTTGTTTCTGTGCATTTGGAACTTTCCATGTGACGCTGTCTTGTAAATGTGTTTTTAAGAGAGGAGAGTTGTTTGAACAAAATAGTTTAACGCGACTTAAGTGACCCAGACTTCTTTACCCTCTTCGCGTCCTTTTTTCCTCTCTCCTACCTTTCCTCGGATTGTTTCTTTCTCGTGGCGGAAGTTTCGGAAGTTGATAAGGAGGAACTCACTGAAAGTGATGGAGCCTTATCTACGACGAAAATTGTAAAGTTTGTTTTTGAAGTGTGCGCCCAAAAACAAAATTTAAGCCACAGAGAAAGTTAAACAACCGATATGCGAAGCTTGCCGGATATGTGTAAGTTACTTTGAACTCTATCTCCCGACCTTTTTACTAAACTAACGACTTTCTATATTTGACACTTTAAAAGGCTTATGCTCTTTCATGTTCAGCTTTGCGGTTCGATAGATGTGGATGTGAAGAGTATTCCTTTGTAATATTGGCTCTAAGGAAGAGGTGGGCGGGAAACTTCCCGTTTTCAGGCAGCACAAAGAACAAAGCCCACCCGCATCCACCCTTGTTCTTCTTCTAAGTATGAATGCTACTCCTTCTGCGTTGTTCGAGCAACTTCGCCTTCATTGGCGCACTCAATTTGTCTTGAGTGAGCTCATCTTTGCTTTGGATGAAGCCGATGATAGTCTCCGTGACATCCACTGGGATGCGCGTGATCTGATGCAACTTCGTTCACGTATTTTGGCCTTGCAGAAGCGCTTACATCTTCAGATCCATCGTTTGCATTTTCGCATCATTTTCCAACTCACCAGCCAAAACTTGCCTTGACCCTTGACAAGCCTAGCCCGGCCGGGGTTGTGTCGGGGGCGAAAAGGAAAAACATAACAAAGTGCTTGAGCCCTCAGAGGCCTTTCGAATGTGTGCCGGATGATGACCTGACGACTTTTCCCCCCACAGCGCTTGGAGGAGAAAACAGAGCGATCTGAGATTTGTTTCTGCGCATTTGGAACTTTCCATGTGATGCTGTCTTGTAAATGTGTTTTTAAGAGAGGAGAGTTGTTTGAACATAATAGTTTAACGCGACTTAAGTGATCCAGACATCTTTACCCTCTTCGCGTTTTGTTTTTCCTCTCTCCTACCTTTCCTCAGATTGTTTCTTTCTCGTGGCGGAAGTTTCGGAAGTTGATAAGAGTTTCATTCTGTATTTCTGAAGACAGTGAAGGTGACGCGTGATGAACTTGAGAGAGTTGGAACCAAAGAATATTTGGATTCGTGCAAACATTCTTCAGTCAGTGAAGACGGTAAAGAATTTGAATGTCAGGTATGGATGAAAGAGCTTGGGAGGATTGGCTGGAGTGATTTTGATCAATGCGCTCAACATGCAGGGGTGCGTGACGACAGTTGGAGAGAGAACAGTGTCATATGGTTGGATGATTTTCTACATGGTGCTCGTGGCCAATGGGTCATGGCTGATGTTTACGGCCTGGAAGACAGGCGACGGTTGTACAACACGGCCAGAAGAAGAAGAAGAAGTGAAAGAAGAGTCAGAAGCGAGCGCAGAAGAGTTTGGTGACAATTCAGTCGAGCTCAGGATTAGCTATTGTAATGGAGAGATGCGGAGCGATGCTGGAACGAAACAGGAACATGGATTCAGTACAGCGCTTTGGCATAGAACGCAAGAGACGACTGACAGTGATACCTTTTCGCAATCAGAACAAGGAGACTCGTCGTGCTGCTCTGCGACTCAATTGAAAAATTATGAAATACAAACTCGTATCAATAGCTCTTTGAACACAATTTTCGACAAATTAACAAGATTACGCAAAAATTGGACCAATACTTTAGTTGTAAACCATGGGCGCTGGGTGCTCCTTTGCGTAGTGGTAGGGGGTGGGGTTCCGAAAGCTTAAACTTAACCTTGTTTATGTACACGCAAAGAATTGGGGCGCTTCGCTTTTAGTTGTGAACTTCCTGGAGTTAAACTTGCCAATTGCGAGAGGGATCAGCGTCTTCTGCTCCATCCGCTCCAGCCGCTCCATCTGCTCAATGGGCTCCACCCACTCCGCCCGCTCCATCTACTCCATCCGCTCCACCCGCTCCATCCGGTCCATCGTGCAATGTCGTGTTTCAACTAACACCTGTGTGTAGGTTTGCTAGTTTAGTTAACTATGAGCAATTGAGCCTAACGCAGCTATGGCCCAAATATTCCAGCAAATGAATACATAAAGCAGACAACGTTCATAACTTCCATCAGCTGCAGTTGCACACAACAAATATTTTAACTGCGCTGTAACAATTTATGAAAGAGGTGCTGGTCAGATACTACTTTCCTCCAAAGTCTCAATGCGCTAGCGAAGCCCAGGCTGATCTGAGTATGAAGGATAAACGATTCAAATGCTGAGCGTCTCGAAGGTCTCGAAGTTCTTGATCCATGCTGACTTGAGAATGTACATTTTTTGAGGTCATACGCCTTTTCAAAGCCAATGTGCAAAATACTTGGTACAAATCCAGATGTAAGCATATATTGCAACTCAAGGAGGGCCGGGGGAGCTTGGGGATCCTTTGGGGATTCATTTTCATTTGAGAATTCAACACCGGCAGATGACTCGGATCCCGCGATCCCTCCAACCCTTTTGGAACCTTTTGCGTTCCCCCATGTTCTTCCTAACTACGCTACATGTTCGGAATGCCCGGTTCCAAAATATGATAATTTTCACCCGACATGAGTTCACTTGCTTGGGCCTACTATGCCCACTGCTACGCGCGCGCATCAGTTATAGTGCGCCCAAAGCGCCCCACGCCCCATCGCACTCCTTGCGCTGGGTTCCGGAAGTCACATGTCGAAGGCTGTCGAAGGCGCGGCAGGCAGCGCACCACACGGCGCAGGCGGCGCAAACAGCGCAGGCGGCACAAGCGGCGCAGAAGGCGCAAGCGGTGCAAATGGTGCAAACGGCGCAGGCGGTGCAGGCGGCGCAAGCGGCGCAAACACATGCGCAGACACGCGTTCCGTTCTTGTGATTTTCCTTTTAACAGAAGCATACTCTTCCAGGGTAAACATCAACTCACCGCATGTCCTGAAGGCTGCTGCCTCACATATTGGACGCGATTTGCAACATAATGCCCGTTAATGTTAAGCAAAAAACCATATGTTTAAAGAGATCAATCTATTTGCGCAAAAAATGTTTGGAAAACAAGTTGCCGTCGATGAGTTCGTTGGTGATAGAAAGAACTTTCAAGGAACTTCAATTGGACAGCAGGTGCAAAGCTTGTTGTACTGTAATTTCAAAAAGATTTTCCATAACGTTACTATAAATAAAATAATGAAACAATCAATTCAGTTGGTTGTAAATACATATTTCACATAAATATCTTGATCAATAGTTGAAGGGTTTTGTTCGGACAAGAAGTGTCATAAATTCCAATGCATTTTGATGCATCTTGCAATGTTGTAACATTGTGTTCAAATGAATTCCAAGAGGAATTTAAGTTGAAAGCAGCTGCCATCAATTTGTCGATTGGTGTTAAACACTGATCATGACAAAAATTGTTGCAAATGAAAGATTCAAAGATCAAAATTACTCCCTCACGTTAAGAACTTGAGAGCAAACATCAAAAAAGTGCACTACCACAGTCCCCAGCTCTCTTTATTTACTAGCTACAAAAACATTTGGTTGCCGAAGCAGACCGTGAGTTTGAGCAATTGGCCATGGTTTTTTCTCATCGCTCCGAATCCTAACCCAAGCGTCCACAGGGGTCGAAACACTGGTTTCACAGTTGGAACCCACAGGTCATCTACATCGGTCGAGTGAGGCCTTTTTCCGTTTCTTGGACCGGACCGTGGCCATTGCGGTTCGACCGACGTTGCTCCAGACCCTCGTTGAGGGCTCCATGGGTCGACCGGTGGCCGGGGAACTCGGAGGACGGCGGCGAAGATGGGCTCTAGGGTGGTCCAAAAGGGCGTTGCTTTGGATGGGCTCACTGGGGAGGCGTTGGATGGCGTTGAAGGGCGTTGGTTTCCCTAAGATGGTGACCTGAAGACGATCTATTTGTGGCAGATGCGACTCCAGTGAATCTTGACGCTGGGTCCTACTGAAGCAAGGTGATACTGCCAGTTCGCAGGAACGTTCGAGGTTTCAACCTACTCCACCGGATTCCCGCACCTCTCAACGAGAAAAAAGGACACCCAGCCTGGCTGGCTTAGAAGCGGTTCCTGATTGATCAACGCCGTCCGAATCTGTCCATGGGCAGATTCCAGAAACAATTCAGAAACCACTTGGATCAGAATTCGGTGTTTCCAGTTCAGAACTGGGCGCGGGGGTGTCTTTCGGGGGAATCTTTTGCAGGTGAGAAGGGAGTGGGAGTGTGCAATTCACTTCCAAATGTGCGGAATTCGCTTCCGCGCCAGACAAGGCATTGACCTCCGGCAGGTGTTCGTTCCACCTCCTCCATGTCGGGCTCACCTGGCTGGAAACCCCCGGCCCCAGCCCACTCCGACCTCCGGGGGCCGACGGGACATCCCTTTTTTGCAGGTCCAGGCTTCGACCCAACAGAGGTTTTTCAGGACCCGAACTAGCCTATCCCAGTTCGGTACCCCAGGTGACGGGTCCTATGAAAACGGTCACGTTCCACCTCTATTTTGGAGGCTTCGACTGGCGGGACCTGGGTGGGATTTTGGGACCTAGGCGTGCCCCCGGCGGCCACTCACGACATCCGGTACTGCCCGGGAGCTCGGACCGGCCCCGCCTTCGCGAGCGAGGGAGCTCGGAGGTTCAGGGCGGCCTTCGGTCGGTTTTTTTCATGGGAACTACGATGTTCTTGGTTCTTGGTGCAGTTAGATGAATCCTTCCCACGGCCAGGCCGAGTGAAAGCCTTTGTGCACGAATTGATGGTGTGGCAGTTGAGACCATTCAGGGGGAGGTATGGGGAGAAACCCAAGTTCTCAGGTCATCGGGAACGTCAATCAAATTCTTGGTGTCATCACTTGCCAAACCCTCCAAATCCAACTCGCATTTGTCTCGCAAACTTGGATGTTTTGCCGGAGTTGGTGAGGCCTACGATTAGTTGAAGATGGCCTACCTGAGCTCGGAGGAGGGTGGAAACCGTGCGGTGGTGCGGCTTGTTGTTTGCTATCAGAACCAAACCCATTTTTCATCATTTTTCTATTTTTCGAAGGGTCGGTCTCACAAAAGAGGTCATGGGAAGCAAGGCCAGTAGCAGGAGCTCGGGTAGTTCCAGAACAATAGATTCTCAATGATTTTTCCTGTTACCATGTGTGGGCGGGTGCGGTTTGCCTCTTCTTTTATGCGGTGCTGTATTTGAGACATGGTTGTGACAAGGGAACCACCCCCAAGTCCTACAAAGCTAAGCCACTGAGTTTTTCTTTTTTTGTTGAAATCCGATCCCGGAGCTTTTTGGAGCCTCAATAAACAGAACCTCCAAGGGGGTGAGTCCCAGAAATGCTTGAAGTCCAAAGCCAGCTGATGACTACACCAAGAACCAAAGCTCAGAAGACCACTACAGGGCAGAACAGCATCTCAACCCCACTGATATCCTCCCAAGAAGAGCACCACCGATTTTCGCTTGCAAGCCGCTTGCAAGCCGCTTGCAAGCCCAAAAAGAACACTGGCACTTCTCTTTGTGGTGCAACTGGTGTTCCTCCCCTTGTGTTCCTCCCCACGAGAATCCGCCAGGACCTGCACGCCGCTGCGTCGGCGCTCGCCGCCGCTCCGCTGGTCCGGCCCCGCAAGGGCAACCGGGGGGCCGTCGCGAGCGTCGCTGGGTTGGAAGGGATTGGAACCGGCTGGTTTTTGGGGGGTCGAGAGAGGAAAGAAGCTCCGGAACACTTGTAGAGATGCCGCAGGTGAGAAACTCTTTTCTGGAAACGGCCCTAGCAGCTGTGAACTTGTCCTCGGATGTCCTCAGTGATTTCGGGTCCAGCCGTCCAGAGACAGGAGCTCCAGCCGTGTCTGAGTTGTGTGGGTGGCTGACACGGGGCGACACACGCGTCCACCGCAGTGCAGCCATCATCACCGCGGAATCTTCTTCTTGCTTTCCAAGACTTCCCCCCCCCCCCAGCTGGCTGGACACCGTGACAGCGAGAAACGCACTTGGAGCTGTGGAGCCGTCGATCTGGCGCCAAAGCCGACCCAAAGCCTGATTGTCCCAGTTCATCCCCTGCTCCTGCACAAACACACACGACGACTTATTGCTGGCACTATGGTTTCTGGGGTCTCAAGTATAGAGCAACACGTCTCCGAAATGGAGGGTTGTTGTTAGGCCGAAGGGCCCTGTCACACGTTTCAATTGGTGACCTGTTGGCCGTCGGTGCTGGTATAGAGGACACTCCTTCCTTTCTCCACAAAAAGCCTTGCAGAAACACTCAAGCTCTGCACCGAGGCCCAAGAGTTCTGCCTCTTGTGCTTCTTTTGCCTGGGCTTCCTGCTGTGCCGCACGAGTGTCCCCGGAGCCCAGACTTGGGACGCGGATCGGAGGTCGGACGACGTTCGGACGACGGTCCTGACGGTGTGGGCATGCTTCTATAAAGGGGGGTTGGGCCGAAGGGACTCTCGACTCACCTGCGCTGGACGACGTGGAGGGTGGTGGCTCCCTCGACTGGCCTAAATCGAAACGCGGCCCCCCCGACAGACCAGCTCAACGCGCCCAGGTGGTGAAGCGCTTGCTGAGCCTCGAGCGGTTTCTGGGCCTGGAACTGGCTCAACTGGCTCACCCCGCGGTGGACCGAACCGACTGGTGGTCGAGGCAACGAGGGGATCGAGAACGGTTCTTGCTCGCTCCCGCGAGTCGCCGAGGCTTCCGCGGATCGGCTCCGGGACCTTGCTGCAGCTGCATCAGCAACGCCGCTATGAGGAGGCGTGGTGAACCGACCTTCCAAACCCTGACCATCCACCGCTTCCGGAAGCGGTGGACCTTTGGTTCCACCGAACCCTTCGCTTCCGACCGGGGCTTCTCGGGGCCGAGGCGCTTCGGACGGCCCTGGGCGGCTTCGGAGCCACTCCACCCGGGACGACCAACAGAGGTTTTTCATGACCCGAACTAGCCTATCCCAGTTCGGTACCCCAGGTGACGGGTCCTAAGAAAACGGTCACGTTCCACCTCTCTTGGGAGGGGGTCCCACCGAAGCGCGCGCAGGTCTTGGATGCCTGGCCGACCCTGGAGGACTTCACCCCGCAGGCGCTGTGCTCGATCCGTCGCTGGGTTCGGGGCGGGGCGGGGCGGAGGGAGTGGAGCGAAGACCAGCCCAGCTGCCCAGCTGCCCATGGGGTTCCCCGAACCTGAAAAGGTCGAAGTGGATCCTTCGTGCCATTAAACGAGTGCTGTATGGATCCTTCGTGTAGTCGATGCCGGAACTTGAAGATAGATGAGTTGTTTGCAACGCCCATGTTGTTGGGCCATGCCGCTACCGAACTCGAAGCTCGTTTGCCGGAACATGCAAGTACCTGGCTCTTCAAAGTGACCTTTTGATATCCCAGAGGTCACGCAAGGGCCTGTAAAAGTTAGGTCACTGGATGGATGGGACAAGCTCATTTTGAAGACGCTGTTAATATATTTTTTCAACATGTTTATCCAAGCTTACCATGTGGCTTCTGCGCGGTGCTTCGGAGGCCTTTTCTGCCGTGGTCGATGCCCTCCTGGCGCTGGACAGGCGCTGATTTGAAGCGGGTCCATCGGGCCGTGCGTGGGACGGAGACCTTTCATATCCTTTTGGTCGTGGCACTTCTGGGTCGTCCAGTCCACCATTTGGCGCTGTAGGTGAACTCAGGTACCCCCTGGTGCCACCCACAGCCACCAACGACGTGTAAACAGTCGTAGCAAGGCGGCAATCATGTTTGGGCTTGTTCGGCGTATTTTGCCAGGTGCCAAGGAATCTCCATGTCGACACTCCCCTTTTATGAGAGTTTTCTGACAAGGTTCTTTTTGTTGGCGAAATGTGTAGATGCTGGACTGGAACTCAATCCTTCTTGATGTGTTTTGTTCAAGAATAGACATACTACGAGCGAACATCTCAGAAACTTCAGCAGGGAAAGGCAAGATCACTGCACGTCTCAGAGGCTTTTGGTTTTTTGCACCGGAAGACGTTCTCAAAGCGGATATTTATGGACTGCCAAAGATGAGATTGAGACCTCATCTGCCAAGAGATGAAGAAGTTTAGACCCTTGGGACCTCTGTCCTAAAGGTTGGGGTGGTCTTTAGACTCCGAAAGCGAGGAATGAGCAGGTTCCAGCAAGAAAAAACCGCCCAACTGGCAACTCCTGGCGGACACGCCACCGGCTGGTTTTGGCTTTTCCGCGGCAGAGGCTGGAGGCTGGGTCTAGCAGGTCTGCCAGGCAGTTTCCAGTTCTATTTGCTTCTGCTTTGGGGCTTGACACAGCCCTCCACTGGGAATTCGTCCTCCGCATTCATGTCTGCTGGTCGTTGGCTTTGTAGATGGGGCCAACCGCTTCCTCAAGGGGTCGCAAAAGCGCCCGGTTCTACATGCCGCAGCCATTCCACATCTCTTCCTTCGCTCGTTTGTTACGTTGACGTCACGTCGGATTCTTCTCCATGGCAGCTCCTGGTCGCATTGAGGAGTGGTTCCAGCAGGTTCCAGAAGTGCTTCTGGAAGAAGGCGGGTTGGGAAGGGAAAGGAGTGGAAGATTTAAAGACTGGACATGGGGGGTCTGAGGGCCAAAGTTCATTGCTCCCTGGAAGGTTCTTCCCCCAAGCTGGGTTCTACTCCCTGATTTCATGGCGAAAGAATGACCACGGGTACATCAATGGGGGGTGGTTTCACTGACCGCGGAAGACGCCGCCTGCGTCTTCCGCCATCAATGCACCCACGAGTGTTCATCACGTGAGTTCGCCCAAAACGCCGACCGTCGTTGGTTTTTTAGAGCGAGTGCCCACACCATCCACCATCGACACCGGCCGGCGTCACGAGGCTGGGAGGCGGAGATTGAACAGCCGAGCTGCAGCTTGTGCCACTGCGAAGCCCCCTGGGGTGGTTCCCTGATCCGAATCCGCTTGGAGGTCCAATTGGAGAACCCACCGGAGAGACTTGGACAAGGGGAAATGCAGCTGGGCGGATGGTGGAGAAGCGTCACGCAGTTGTGCAGTTGGGCGGACGGAAGTTGCCTTAGGGAACGAAGCAGATGTCGGGGTCTGGTTTTCGTGCAGAGGGGTGGGTGGGTTGGCTTGGTTGAAGCACAGGAAGGGCACCACCGTGAACCCGAGCACCTGGGCTGCTCGATAGCCTTTGGAAGGCTGCTCGATCGTTGAAAGGGCAGGTCAAACAGACCAACCCACTGTTTGGGTCTGTCCTAGGACACCTGTAACAGTATCAGTCACCTAGGAAACCTGTAACAGTCTGTACCTAGGAAACCTGTCCTAATCTTGCCGAACAAGGCCTGCCAACCAGGCCCCATCCTCCAAGCCGCGGGCGTTGGATGGTGGGATCGACCGACCCTAAAAGCCCACTGCATCGGTCGACCTCGTCGCCGAGCTCACCTGAGCTGGAAGACCCGGGGAGCGCTCTTTGCCAAACACCGCCTTTTGTGGTTCTTCCTTTCATGATCCTCTTTTTTCAGATTTCGACCAAAAGGCCTGTTTTCTGGGTCACCAGCAGGGCTTGGGGGACGTCAAAAAGCTCAACCGAGATCTCGCGGGGTCTCCAAGTACCTCGGGACGGGGACTGGCGCGGCGGAGCGACCGAGCACCGAGGAACCCAGCGATGCTGTTGGTGCGGCCGGAAGTCCGCGCGCTGCAGGGGAAGAAGGAGCTCTCAGAGGTGCGCTCGATCCCAACGGCCGTCCAGTGAGCAGTGTCCCTGCAGCATTCGCAGATGGCAGATGTGAGGTGATGAAAAGAAACCAAAGAAACCAAACGCTCGCGAAGGTTGGGCATTCTTTCTGGAGCATCGGATCTTTTTTAGCAGGAGTCCCCTCCAATGGTGCCCCGTTTCGGGATTGGACTTCTTCTCGGTGCCAGCTCCAAAACCCGAACCGGAAGAAAACACACCCTTTCCTCGCCGCCCGACGCGTTTCGCACCCGGTACGGTGCGAAACGCACCCGGCTGCTTCAGCGAAAACATGCGTCGGTTCATGGCCGGTGATGGCGTCGGTGTCGATGTCGACCGGAAAGAGCTTCCAAGCAACACATCGCAGGACTTTGCCCTGCAAGTCCAAAGACCCAGGTCCAAACCGGGTCTTTTACCTCCTTAAGTATTGGTTTTGTGTGACCATCCCCAGTAAAATGAGGTCTTTGACTTGTAGGGTTGCCTCCCAGAGCAGCGATGTGCGTGCAAAAGCAGCCAAAACGGACCTCTTCTCTGCGCGCCTTTAGGGACCCCTGAAGGCACCCTTCCTGGAATCAACGGACGGTGATCTCAAGACACGCCACGGGCGATCTCGCGACCTGAAGGTGGACGACCTGCGTGTGCTGGAGACCGCGTCACCGGGAGATTCGTTGCTGAAGCAGGTGCACACCTGGGGCCTGAGCTTCTTGTTGGCAGCGCTTCTGGAAAACTGCGAGACCGGAGGGTTTTCATGGGTCTCATGCCCGCAATGATGACAAACAAAAATCCATAGCCCAGCTTCAAGTGATCCCTTTGGAAACAATTAAGTGACCTCAAAACTTGGATATCAAAAGGTCACTTTGAAGAACCAGGGCCAAAATTGGCAGATAGAAAAGACGAGTATGTTGTATAACCATCCAGAACAAAAACTACTGTCTTTCCTATCTACCGATTTTGGTAGATGATGCTTTCAATCTGCTTGGACCAGTGTGCTCTGGAATGTTTCTGGCAAAAAGGTGAGTAGGCACATGTAGGCACCCGTGAGATTCTCGCCGTGACCAAGGTAGCCTGTGCAGCAGTTTCATGGAAGCTTCAAACGCTCCGAAGGAGCAAGTTCCGGCGCAGGGGTGAGTGCAGTGTTTTCTTTCTGTCTGTCAAGGCAGACCAAAATTCTCCCCAGCAGCTGTCAACGGCACCAACCAAAGATCGCAGGGCGAGTTTCATGCTCTTTAAAGGCCAGGCAAATATAACGACCTGAGAAAGGTGAATGGGACAATAGGCCCCATAGAAGACTACAACGAGGTCGGTTTGGAAGCACCAATGACTCGTTGGGAAGTAGGCCCTTCAACCACCATGCAGTTGCCCAAGGACCTTCACGGTCGAGTGTACGGTATATATCTGTAGCTTGAGAGGTGAGGCACCACATCTTGTCCAACCCCACCTCAATCTTGGTCCCTCCGGCGCTTCCGAGTCCAGTCAATGAACCATCGCTTTTTCACATCGGGGATCATCCGGGCTTGCCAAGCTCTGTGACCCTCACGAAGCTTCGAGGACCTGGGCGATGCCCAGTTTGTGAAGGTCGGTTGGCAGCGCGTCACGCGCGACTTCCCGGACCAAGGACAGTATCGGAAAATGTGGCAGTGGGAGGAGATGGTATGAAGGCCACACTTTCAATGGTGACAGGAAAATGATGTGGAATGTTGTGTTGTGATGTGTTGTGTATAGCAAACTACACCGGAAATCAACAGTAAGAACACTCGTGACAACGTATTGGAAAGGCGTTCGATCAGCTTGGATTGGGGCCCCTTTCGAAGAGGAGAGAGCAGCAATGAGTGATGTCAAACACACAGACCATTTGACGCCAAATGCGTCGGGGTTTCGCAACTTCCCAACTCTTCCAAACAGTTTCGGCCCCAAGCAAGGCAGGCTTTTCACTCACCTTGACTCATGAAGGCGTGGACTTCGGACATCGCGCGTTGGGTGACCGGGCCGAGCCGCAGGAGACAGCGCCTTGACCTTCGCTGGCGAGAAGCCTCGGCTGCTCCTCTGCCGGCCGAAGGGTGAGCCCTTCCGGCTCTCGCCCCGCGGAACAGCGGCTCGGGTCGGCACACATGGGGGCTGGGCGCGAAGGTTCGCAAGAAGAAGACTCGTCAACTAGTCTTTCTGCCCGAGTTCACAACCAAGAGTGGTGATGCGTGGATATGAGCTTGCCAAGTCTCAGAAGAAGAAGATCCAGGTGCCCCTGTCACGTCCACGGCCCCTGGATGAGACTAGGGACCACCACGCCGAGCGAGCGACATGTGACTCCTGGTTGTTGTTGCTGCTGGGTTGTGGTTGTGGTTGTGGTTGTGGTTGTTGTTGTTGTTGGCTGAGGGAAGCACTCCTGGATGACCAGTGTCCCCATCACATGATGCCCCCTCCTTCAGCACCACTTCGCACCGAAGTTCCGACCGTCCGTCCGTTCGGACCGTGTTCGGACGCTCGGACGCTCGGACGCGCTGAGGAGACGAGTTCGTCCAGCTGGGCTCGACGCTACGAAGTGAACGCCATCTTCCAAGTGGACGAGGTCTCTTTCGTCCTTGAAGGGTCGAGGTTGTGGTTGTGGTGAGGTCCGGTTTGAGTCTCCGCTTTTGAAGCAGACCAGACGACATGTTTCGGAAGGTGAAACCGAATGTTGGACGTATATATATGGCTGCTTCTGCAATGAGTAGCCTTGCAATCAGTTGGCTTGGGGTCATACATCAATACAAATGATAGGGGTGGATTGGGCATTCTGAGCTTCATCTTTGGCTCCCTGGCACGGTCAGATGCGGCCCAATGATCCAGCCAGAGGGCGGACCGCGCTCATGCCAAGCCATCCATGCGAATTCGAT